GCTCTCACATAGCTTTGGGGTGGAAATGAGTCAAAAATAGTAGCTTCTCCCGATTTCACCTCATCCTACATGGCGTTCTGTGAGAGCATATTTTAAGGAACTCTATACATGGAGTTGTTTTGTCAAACGATTTACCAAAACGGCTCTAGTTTCACCGATAGAGCTGCTCATGGAGCTAGAAGCCCAAACAACTTCAATAGTGAAGTGGAGCCGTGCCAAACCGAGCCTTAGAATAAACTCACAATTTATAGGTTTATAATAGTAATTCTACCTATTCACGAGTATCACGATTCACGGCATAACAGTCGATAACAACAAGATGATAACATGGTCGTGTAAAAGGAGAAAATATGTAGTGCTGCAGCAAAAGTTTGCACTACATGTTTCCCCGTGTAAAAGTTTGACCACAGTTAATAAAGTGACGTAAAAACGTGAAAAACGACGTCGCCTCATCGGTTCATCCTATGCTCTACTAGTGCTCGGCCGGTCGCGACCAGCAGTCTCCTTGGGTCGTCGGTCCCGGAGCAGCCGCACCGCACGAACTCCGTCAGCGTCAGCGCACGGGCGCGTGCCTCCAGAACCAGTCCTGTCAGCTAGATAGCGTGCCCGTGCCCGTGCCCGTGCCCGTGCGCCTGCCCCACTTCTTGAAAGGTCGGTCATCGGTGCCTCAGTCCGGTCGCTCGCTGGGCGCTGGCTAATCCCTCCATTGGCTGGTTCTCGCGACTCTGTTTCAGCCATCAGCCGCCGTCTGGTCTGTGTGTGTGCAGTGCAGGACATTCCGACGTCACAGAGGTCACATCAATCGTGGTCTCGTGGAGGAAGCTTTCTGCGTCGTGCCATCATCCATCGATGAAAGCAGCTCCTCCTTTTTCTTCATTTTTGCGTTGAACGACGGCCGCAAAGCTTTACTGCTGGAAGCAACCGCAAAATGGAGAGAAAAAGAAGTGGACGAGGACGAGGCCACCCCGGTCCCGGGGAATGTGGCCATTCCGCCATGACTGACAAGAGCACTCCGATCGGCGACCACGGTGAGCCGAGCCGAGCTTGAAATTGAGAGTGGCAATGGCGATGGTTTTGTTTTGGCATGTGGCCAATAGCCGAGCTCGACAGTTTCGAGAGTATTTGCTATGCTGGCACCACTGGGGAGGAAGGCCCCGTTCACTTGAACTTATCAGCCGTACTGTTCCAGTAAAATAATATTATTTTTCTTTCATAATAAATTAACATCATCAACAGTATCAACCGTTTTTTCAACCAGCCGAACAGGGCTGAAGACTGTTGGCATGATCGGGCAGGAAAATAATGGTGCTTTTGTTTTCTTCTATGCTAATAAATACTGTTGTTTTCTAGTACCACAAAAGTGAGCAATATGCTTCTCTGTTCTTTTATATATGATGTGCCTTATTCAATCAATTTTAAACTAACTAGGCTCATATATAAAAATAACTGATCGCAGGCGATGGGTTTTGTTGCTGAGTGCTTAAAGAAAGAAGAACAGAGCACATGACTGCGGTTACTTTGCTGCTGAGTGCTTAAAGAAGGAAGAATAGGGCACATGACTACAGCTAGGAGACAGTCTGACAGTAGAAAAAAAACAGACTCCTGTTTAATAACACTTCCTAATTAAATAAGAGGAAAATAACACTACTTACTACAATTACCTTTTTTACCACCGTGCTACCATTTGTACCATCAAAAACTGTTATACATCCGTCCACCTTGTGGAAATTGTAGAAATTACTAACGGAGATGAAGCCTCCTTAGGTACAACCCATGGCGCGTCACAAATGTAACAAATACGCTCCCTAACCCGGCATCCTAGCGTTTATCGCCGTTGATGGTATACAAAATTATTTTCTTAATGCTTAAGACCGGGCTTTTGCCTTCTACACTGTCATCAACCTCCCCCCCTCCCCACCCCACACCCCCCCCACACACACACAAAATCCACGCACCCAAAACTCACCAACCCAAACCCAACTACCCAAGAATTAAGCGCAAACTCTAATGGGCGACGGGTCGCGCGCCCCTTAGCCCGTGGGCCCGACGTAACTTCGTGGCCTGTGCCTTCCTCCTCCGCCCCGTTGCCGGAGACGAGCTCGCTAGAGTTAGGATTTTGAGATTAGGGGCTTGGGTTTCTAGTGGTGGGCTTCATGGCTGGTGGCCTTAGAAGGGGGAGGGGCCTGGCGGCAACAGCTGGTCCAACGGTGGTGGCAGTTAGACCGGCGGTGAGCGAGGCGGTGTGGGCGCCGCCGAGCGGGCGGTGTTGGACATCCGGTTGGTCTGAGCCGACGGTGAGGGTGACGAGTCAGAGCTTGCCCTTCGATTTGGATTAGCGGAGGGCGGGGTGGACCGGCGAGGGTGGTATATGGCGGGTGGCTCGACCGGTGACAAGCTAGGGAGCCGATGGTAGGGGTGGCGGATGAGGAAGGCGAGGGTGGGACAAGCGAGGCATGAGAAAGACAACAGGGCTGAGCACGAGAAAGACGACGGGATCAGGGTCATGCTCTTCCATATGCGTGACGGGTTGCGTTAAAGCGCTCTAAAATTAAGATGAAGGATCTGGATGGAAGGATTACCTAGAGTCATGAAAATTGTATTCTTTGATTAGGTCAACGGGAGTCGATAGGGGAAAGAGAATCCCCTATGACTATATATTCATTATTATTGGAGTGCTGCACAACAGGGCACACGTCGGGTTGCGTTAAAGCAAAATTAAGATGAAGAATCTGGATTGAGGGATTACCTGGACTCCTAGAGTAAGGCTGGATAACGAGCTGACTCGGCTCGTTACGGCTCGGCTCGGCTCGTTCTGGCTCGTTAAGATAACGAGCTAGCTCGGCTCGACTCGTTATCCTAACGAGCCAGAAAGCCAGCTCGGTTCGGCTCGTTAAAAGCTTGAGCCGGCTCGTTAAGCTCACGAGCCACATATAAAAAATACATAAAATACAATATTTGTATTTATCTAAAGTTTGAGAATAATAATAATATAAAAGAAATGCATCTAGACCAGTTACCAATTAATTTATAGGGTCTAGACCAGTTACCAGTCAATTGTAAAGTGTAAGACATGAAGTAATACAAAAACTAATATAAGTTTTGATACTTTTTTCCTGGAAGCTTGGCTCGTTTAGCTCGCGAGCCTCACGAGTTGGCTCGATTTAGCTCGTTATAGCTAACGAGCTAAAATCTTGGCTTGACTCGAGCCGAGCCGAGTCGAGCCAGCCACGAGCCGAGCAAGCTAACGAGTTTCGAGTTTTCCGTCTAGCCTTATCCTGAGTCCTAAAAATTGTATTCTTTTATTAAGTCAATGGGAGTCGGCAGGGAAGAGAGAATCCCATGTGACTATACTCGTTATTATTGGAGTGCTGCTGAGTCATAAAATAAACAGATACAGTGAGGGTTCAGTGGGTTTTAGTTAAAGCAAAGGTAAATGTGTTGCATCGCTAAGAAAACAGATCGAGCACCAATGCAAGGTCACTTAGGCTCAGTTTAGATGTAAATTTTTTTGCAAAATGAGCACGGTAGCATTTCGTTGTTATTTGTCAATTAGTGTTTAATCATAGTCTAATTAGACTTAAAAGATTCGTCTCGTGGATTTCGTCTAAACTGTATAATTAGTTTTATTTTTTATTTATATTTAATGCTTCGTGCATACGGTTAAAGATTCGATGTGACGGAAAATCTTGAAAATTTTGGCAAAACGAAGTATAACTAAGGCCTTACTATCGGGGGATGCCACGAGCATGAGTCAACGTGTTTCTGTTCCTCTTCGTCCGTGCTCCCTTGCGGTAAAAAAAACATTTATCTCGTCCGGCATCAAGGTCAGAGTCAACGGACCTGCGCAGCTTTTACCAGCAGGTTCATCCGTCTCCTCCGGAGGTCGGAGGACGAGGACAGAACCGACGGAGCAGGTCGGCAGGAAAAGGTCCGCGCCCTGGTGCCGCCTTTCGCAGTTCATCTCCGTTAAAACAGTACGCGGAAGGCACGCGTACCGCACGTCGGCGTCGATCTTCTCGGCCCAGCTCGAGCTGACAAAAGGCGCCGCGGACACCGGCGAGGGGAGAGCCCGAGACACGGAGGAGGGGCTGAGCGAGGGCTAGAAGAGGCGCGCGAAGAACTTCCCTTGTCGGCGGGATCCAGTCCGGCTCACCCGATCTGACTCTCCCTGTCTCCCACAGAGGTAAAGAAGCTACACGAGTTGCTCGTAGTCTCTTGATGCCAAATCAAATCTCCTTGGGTACCCAATCTCCTTTGCAAGCTCTACCGGTGCTGCTTCGGTCTATGCATGTACTGGAGAACTGAAGTAATCTTTTTTTTCCTTTCTGGATTGAATAAAGAATTAGCTGGCCTCGAGTGAATACTGAACCGTAATGCATCTGCTCCCGTCTGTTGTTTATCATCCAACGTTGCTTCAATAGTTGAAATTCATCCCACTCCAATGTTTCCATCTTCATCCCAGAAGCAATTCTTGCTCGATTCATGGATTTTTTCCCCCTAAGCTACAGCTTCACTCCAAGTAGAGTACCAGAGATCCGATCTCAACGAATGAGGATAGTGACTGGGCCATGGGAATTTGACCGAGAAAGAAAGGGACAGGTAGAGATAACGAGGATAGGTTGCCCTTCGGGTGCCTAAAAAGGGCCAACAAAATGGCATACCAAGTCAGGCTGCCACGCTTTGCCTATGAATTGGCCTTCGCACAGTCCCTTCTGTTTTACCTCACCTTAAACTGTTGATGATAGGTGGAAAACGGTATAATATTTCATCATGCTTCATTGCTGCTGTTCAGTTTGGGTTCATGGTATCTCAATTTCAAATAGGCTTGGTCATTTGTACAACCTGTTTATATGTAGTATATGTCTCGCTGATAATCTGCATATCCCCAAATATATTCCTTCTGAATTACCTGTCATTTTATATGTCAGTACACACTCAGTTCCCTGAATTTCAAGTACTTGAACGTGATTGCATCATTGCAGCAGATCCAGGTTAAACTGATGGCTGACAACAGCATTGAGCAAGCATTGATAGAGGATCTTCCTAATGGGCTGAAAAGGAAACCGCCAGAAGGAGCTAAACGGTTTCGACGATGCAGGTCAACCCCCTCAGATCCCACCGATCAGAAACCTGCAGAAAACAGATCTGTGCTTAAAGCCAAGGAGTTATTCACGGATATAAGGCCGAGCTTCAGGCTTGTAGGCCTCCTCCTTTTTGCCTACCTGCTAGTGGGTGTCATCATCTTTTACCTATTCATGGATCAGTTATCTGGGAAGACAACTGATAGAGTGCTTGACGCCTTGTACTTCGTTATTGTCACAATGACCTCGGTTGGCTATGGGGATCTTTTCCCAAACAGTGACACAACAAAGCTGCTTGCTTGCGCTTTCGTCTTCACAGGCATGGCGATCATTGCTCTCTTCATCAGCAAAGCGGCAGATTACCTTGTTGAGAAACAGGAGGTGTTGTTCTTCAAAGCACTGCACATGAATATGAAGGGCAGCGAGGCCAAAATGCTCAGGGCAATGGAAACAAATAAGATAAAGTACAAATTCTACACTGTCGCTCTGCTTCTGGCGATGGTTATTGCTGCTGGGACTGTATTTCTGTGGAAGGTTGAGAAGCTGAGCCTTGTTGATTCCTTTTACTGTGTCTGTGCCACGATCACTACCCTGGGTTATGGGGATAAAAGCTTCTCGTCCAAATTGGGGCGCGTTTTTGCAGTATTTTGGATAACCACGAGTACTATCATCATGGCTCAATTCTTCCTGTACCTTGCTGAGCTCTACACCGAGCGACGGCAGAAAATGCTGGCCAAATGGGTCCTCATCAGGAGGATAACAACCATGGATCTTGAGGCGGCTGATCTAGATGGCAACCGACAAGTTGTGTAAGTGCATAACTTATAACTCATCTCAGCACCCATCTTCCATATTAGTATTTTTTTTCTCTGAAGTGTTTGGTATCAATGATGCTGATATCTGGAAGTTGATGTGTACAGTGCTGCTGAATTTGTACTTTACAAGCTAAAAGAGCTGGGCAAGATCAGCCAAGAGGAGATATCTTGTTTTCTTGAGGAGTTCAACCAGCTTGATGTTGACCAGTCTGGCACACTCTCGACTTACGACCTTAATCTTGCACAAACCAGCCAATGACTGATGGTGCAAATGTGATTTTGCTGATTGAATGGTTTTGGTTGATGTTGTAGCATTTTTGTTGTCCATATGTAACTCAGTAATCTTGTAAAAATGCAAATGAGACGATTGAGAAATTATATCCCACTTTTTCTCCAAAGCAACTTGAATGAAGGCTGTAAGGAAAGTTTATCCGAGCTTGCACACAGAGACAGCATGCCTGCCCATTTATTAAGTTGGTTTAGCTCTGCCCCTCTCATTGCCGTGTTTCCAGCATATGATGCGAAAATTGTTATGTAGCAGTGAATTGTGGTGGATACCAATGTTTTCAAGTCGTCCGATTAATCACGATTAATTGCAATTACTCGTCCTAATCGGTCCCTGGTGTTCGATTAGGAGGTCCGACTCGATTAGCTCGACCAGAAAGCTGGTCGTCCGATTAGTCGATGACTAATCACGATTAGTCGTCCGACTAGGCCATGCACGACCAGTGTGGTTGCTGTGTTTTTTTTGGGCCTGTTCAACCGGGCCTATATGTGGCCTATTGGGCTTCCAATTTGGCCTATTAGGGTTAGAATAGGCACCCCAAAACACCGGAGGCACGCAGGCACGGTGGCAAACGTAGGGCGGCCGCAATTTTTCCCCGCGCGCCTCCACTCTCCCACGCGCGCGTTTCCTGCCTTCCTTGTGCGATTCCTCCCCTTCCCGTGCGCGATTCCCTCTCTCTCGTGAGCTATTCCCCTCCCTCGTGTGCTATTCTCCTCCCTCGCACGCTATTCTCCTCTCTGGTGAGCTGTGAAGCCAACGGCGCCCTCTGCCAGGTCAAGTGGCCGCGGTCTTCGTGATGAGCTGCTCCGACGACGGTATGTGCCTTTCCCCTCTCCATCTTCTTCCCTCCTCCCCCATCCCTCACTCTACAGCCTCTCTGGCTCTCTGCTAGACTGCTAGGTTGCTTGCTGTGCTGTACTGCTGTCCCTCTGCTATTCTCTGGTTCCAAAGGAAAGAGAAGCAATCCACTCTGCTAGACTAATCGGCCTGGTCGACGAGTAATCGTGATTAGTCGCCTGGTCGGTCCCATGGCGACTAGGTTCGACTAGACGACTTGAAAACATTGGTGGATACTTTTAGACTTGTTACCATTGGCTCTGCATTGGTCGGCAAGCAACAAATCTGATGCCCGGAGATCATTCAGGAACTCAGGGATAGATGCAGAAATTAGCTCAGATCCCATGGGATAGAGCATCTATAGTTGCAGAACATTAAGCAAGATTGCCATCACAAGGCTGACTTTTTCTGAGAAAACGTAAGCACTTCTATTCAAATAGTTGTATCTGAACTCTTACAGCGATTTAACTTCCAATAACACGAAATACAACCTAAAAGATACATTTGTTCAGATGATCAGCCATGAAACTGCTATACTAAACTAAAGTCAGGCAACATAAGGACATAACTCTAGTCAAACAAAAGAAGATCATATTAAGACACATCCTGGACGGGTACAAGTATGTCCAATCTTATATCTTATAAATGCATGCCTTGTTTGATCTTCTGGGGAATGTATTCATCCGATAAAAAGGAAATGGAATTTGCAGATAGTGCCTCAATCTCAAACTTGACACCCTTTTGCAACATTGCTTCCAACTCTGACCTGTCAAATGAGAGAATACATGTGAAATTCAGGAAGAAAAAACTAAGAGAACAAAATAACTCAAAATTCTTGATACGTAAATGATGCATTTAATAATATCTTAAAAGTATGAAGTGCTTGCAACTATTTTGCCGTTACTGGTAAAAACAGGAAGCTATACAGTTATTGAAGCTAAAGATCTGGTGCTGAAGAAACTCTCCAGACACTAAATCATAAGAATGATGACTGCAAATCAGATTTCATGAAAACTCTAGCCTAACCAATACTGAGATTGAGATCCCTAACCAAAAGACAGTTCTAATAGACATTGAGCTTGAACTGAAGGTCACAGTGATATCATGGAGGATGTATACTTGTAATACACCTTGTAAAACTCCAAAGCTGGTTCATTATTCATTACCTCCATTCTGGGGCTTCCCTGTGTAAATAGCACCTAGCAAGAATACCTTCAGCTTTCCTCCTATCTGTGCAGCAGAAAACATGATTTCACAGGTTGGCATTTGACATACAACAAGAAAGTAAGGAACTTCTTCCAAAAAAAAAAGGAGTACATATGACACTTGAATCACTCCAGTTTATTCACCTTCAGGTAACAAATGAAGTAGGCAGCAGTCTGGAAGGCAATATTCTTCAAAAATCAGATGTGAAGACTCCAAGCCACCGTATATGAGGCACACGCAACAAGTTTGCATCATGTGCCAATTGCTTGAAGAATGAAATGGCGCAAGGAAGTAGCAGAGGTTGGTAAGTTAAAACAGGTAAATATGCCATAGTCTTGGGTTTCAAAGAGCAAAAAGAAATATTAAGGGCCATGCTTGACAATAAAAATACGACAAAATTTCATGAATAAGATAAGCAAAATGGGCATAATTTTTTTTTTAGAAAACAGGAACCGTTCTAACACATAGCCTTACTGCTAATGGGACTTCATAAAGTAATAGAACTTTCAAGAGTGTTTATACCAAAATTTGGGAAGAAGAACGCGGGAACTCGAAGCTTCCAAGATTGTGTCAATCAAGGAATCGATTGCATGAGGATCGATATCAGCCGATTCAGATGCGACACTGGAATCGGCTCTCTTCGAATGACGTCAGCAGATAACAACAATGAGCTGCGGTTGACGTCGGGAAATACATATCAGACTCTACAAAAAGGGAAAGATTAGGGTCCAAGTTATCTTAAATTAGAAATGTTTTATCTTATACCAAAGATTGTAATGAGTCGTGCTTAAGTATGATTCATACTTAGGTTCCGGGTATAAATATTAGACCCCGCTATTGTAAAAGATATACAATCAATCAATACAAATTACTTTTTTGGCTCCGTGCCAACCCTTAGGAGTAGGAGTAGGGTAGATCTCGGCGAGTTCTTCAACAAGCAGGGCTGCATCGGTCCGGTCGACCTCTGGCTTGTCTGTAAGTACCGTCATGGCTTATACTTCTGTTTGTACGGCTGCATCGGTTAAGTTCGACCTCCACTGCGAGCTCTAGTATAAGCTAGTTATCGACTCTTATCTAGTTCAAGTACGACTGCATCGGTCCGGCCGACCTCCACTGCTCGAATTAGATTAAGGTCAAGTTATCGGCTCTACCTAAGGGTAGTATCCTTCGGGTAGATTCATTAAGTTACCGATCTTGCTGATGCTCTTATTGTCATTAGTTTTCAGCAACATCAATCTGTCCGATCGAGATCGATCTAGATCGGCCTCACATCCTTTTAGTCCGTCGTTTGCTTTGTTACAATACGATATCTCTTACTTTGAGCGATGGGTTACGTTTTATCGTCTAATCTACCTCGATCTTGATCGTGCATAGTACGCGGTTAAGGCACGTATGACCTTGAATATGTTTGCTGCCTAGTTAAATCTGGTTTATAGTTCGCTATTATAACTGTAACGATCTGGTCGATCGCCACTGATGGCACTTTAGATCGGAGGATGCTAGTTGATAGATTTGTTCTCGATCAGACGTGACCTTAACTTTTTGCTATGCCTGCATCAGCTAAATAGCCGATCGCCTATGCTTTAACGCCTACAGTGTGTCTCCATAATTCTGTTAAATGTGAATAGATCTATGTACTTTAAAGATTTGATTTGTTGTCTTTATCACAGCTGCCATCGATCCGGTCGAACCCCACTGTTAGAGATAACAGGTTAAGTCTGATGAGTTCATAGGTTTGTCCATATTAAATAGTCGATTGTTCACACGATGTAGTCCCTTTTCACCTGAATCGGCTATTTCAGCCGATTCGCTCGAGTTTTCACACATATAGCATGTCTTTCGGAAAGTCTGTCAATGTATAGATGGTTTTATGGACTCTTTGGTTTTACTTTGTTATGATCATCATAGCTGCCATCGATTCGGTCGAACCTCACTGTTGATGGTAACAGATTAGATTCAAAGCGTTTGTTGGTCCATTCGTACTAGACAAGTCGATTTGTTTGAATGATATATCCTTTCTCGTTAGATTTATCGGCTCAACGCTTCATACTAGTAATACTCACCTAGCTGATGATCTTACGTACATCTGCGTGCATTGTACTTGTCAACATAAAATCAATCGCGACCCATGGGCTTCACAGTCCGTAAACAGCCGATTTCTTCGCGTATCGGCTGTTTAGTCGATTTTCCCTTCTGACTGCCCCCGAAGCGACACACTTGGAACTGTCTGGGCAAGGACCGGCATGTTCCACCTTAAATTACTGATAAACTCTCTCTCCTTGTCAATTGCAGGGTCAAATTGACTGGCATGCCTCGGGAGGAATACGCAGGGTCGACGGGTCCTGCGTTGAAGCCAAGCGGATCTCTAGGCTCATCCTAAGCAGATCCTTCTGGCTTGTTGTGTGCCTTGGTGCATCAACACGTTTTTGCACCGACACACGTTGTGGCACGCCCGGTGGGACACCACAATCGTCATGGTGACTTACATCAACAATGACATTCTTATGGTGCCTTATGAAGACCTACCTAATGAGGATAAAGATGTCCTTAACAAAGCTATAGAAGAATTTTAGAACAAGTTTTTATTGTCCTACACCAAGACACGTGACAATAAAGTTGTTCAGAAATATCCACTACCAAGAGTTTTGTTGCATGGGCAGACAGATGCAGATGAAGCTGAAGACAGACGTTTCTTTGTAGAAGTTGTAAACAAATCTGTTCATGATGCCATATTAAACCACAATACATTTTCTTGAACACATTCCACAATACCATAAAAGAGGAGTTTCATAGATATTCAGCTGATCAAGTTGGACCAGTTTACTACAATATTCCACATCCGTCGACTCAGGGGACTAATTAGGCCAGTACTAGCCATCAAGAAGCAGCACCAGCTGGTAATGATGATGTCCAGGCAGTTCAGAGCTCGT